GATTGTGAAAGTGTTATCGGAATGGATGGATGATATTCACCATCAAGTGCACTCAAACTTGAAAACGTCTGCTGATTCGATGAAGTTAACTTATGATAAGAGATCAACTGAAGTCAGCTTTGTACCTGGAAACAAGGTATGGTTGTATAATCCCAGGAAGACCAAAGGGAAGTCTCCTAAGTTGTCTTCTCCATGGGAAGGCCCATATGACATAGTGGATCGTCTCTCAGACGTGACTTTCCGGATAAAATGTGGTCGGCGAGGTAAGCCAGAAGTGGCGCATGCCAACAGGCTTTGGCATTATCACGGTCCAGGACATTTCAGTTGGGACGAAGTGGACAACAGAACAAATGACGCTGCTGAAGACGTGTCACCTGAAAAAGCCAACGTCGAAGAAGAAACTCTACTCAGTTTTGAGAAGGGAAACGGTGAAGCTCTTGATGAAGTTACTACCACTGATGTGACTGTTACCGATGATAGGACATTTACTGATGAAGCAGATGAACCCCACATGAAGCAGAAGCCAACGAAGACGGAGACCAGTACGGAAGAAGATACGTCCTGTAAAATTAAGAGACTTTGTTGAATTGTAATTCTGTACATTTAATTAAGTTATTGTTAATTGTTATTGGTTTATTGTAAGTGGCTATTGTTCGGGACGAACAATACTAAGGAGGAACAGTGTTGCGTCAGCGAGGTCACGTGACTAGTGTCACGCCACCTGCTTTCTAGAACTATCCCGTTCCTTCGGGAGTGCTCTAGCATTTACTAGATTGGGGGTGGGCTGGTATATATAAGATGGTCACGGCGTGACGTGATAGTGTGTGTAGGTAGTGAGTAATTGATCTGTAGTCAGAGAGTATTGTTGAAGTTCGTTATAGCGTTTGTTTTAGCGCGAATGTTGAAATCAAGTGTATCGTAAAGTTATATTCAGAAAGAATAAACCAGTTTTATTAAGTAAGGACTTGTGTCGCTAAAGTTTCGTCGGAACGAAGTGACGGAAAGTTAATTAACAAACGGAGACGTAACAGTACTTTCCTGTAATTCGTCAGTGAATTGGAACACTACATTTTTAAAATAATAGATCTCTCATTAAGCCTAGTAAATAAAGTTTCATTAATGAATGTATTTTATTAGATATATTCGTCCATACCACTACTCTTTATTCAACTATAGAAATGTTTTAGTTTTCTAGTTGTGTATGAAACTAGTTTCCTTATTTTTTTATACAAAAATTCTACACCTCTCAAAGTTATCGCAAGTAGTTAGAAATCCTTTGTGATTTGATTATCATTTTATGTTGCTGTAAGAAAACTCTTGTATTATCTTTAGAAACCGGGTGTCGTAAAGCACAAATATATTATTTCATTTAAATTAAACATTGAATTCCAATAAACAGTCTTGTAATTACACTTATTATGGTAAAAACACAATAATGAATGTACGTTTCCGGTCTAAGATATTATAAAACCGAAACCAGCTTTATTTACATCCGGGTAATTTTATAGTAATCTGTGTAAATAAAAAGCACTTTTCAATTGAATATATGTTATGATGACTGTCTGTTTGTTCAAATTGAGTTTATGGGGTATGGTATTTTTCATATGTGGAATTGTTGTGCATTTATTCTACAATTTTTTTCCCTAATTTGCTACTTACAAGTTACAATGTGTTGTGCCTGCACGTGGGAGAAATATATTATAAATTTATTACCAAATATATGTATTGAAGTGGTTTTTGTATTCGTAAATCAGAAGTAAATGTGACGTATTCATGTAGGTGATCATTAACAGTGGAGAGTCTATGAGTATGAATTCGACAGTATAATAAAGCTAAAAGAGTATTGAAGTTGTAAGAGTACAAATACAAGTGATTTACGTCATTTTGAACAAGAAAGTAAAGAAGTAAAATATAATTTTAGGCCTAAAATTTAAAACCTGGCTTAAGACATTGCTTAGTATTATTACTAATAGTAAGATTAACGATAACCGACACCAGCTCTTGACAAGTCTTGATAAGTAAAAACTAACTTTAGAAAGTTATGGATAATAGATTGGTAAATCATATGCTAAAGAAAGGTTTTGCAAAATGAGTTAAATTATTCAAAAAAAAATCTTTGGTTTTACTTGTAATTTGAATACAGGTTGTGGGGAATAACATGCGACCTGGAAAACGAGTTGTTTTTACAAAAATATGGCACCTGTCAGTTCTCAAGGCCTCAATGTAGGAGACATTGAAATGAAGTTTGCTCACCTGCTTAATCCAATAAGAGATTTAAAGAAAAACTGGGAGATAGACATAGCAGCCTACTTAGAAGAATACCTTGCAGAAGTAAGATTTTTTCAAGAGGGGGTTAATAAATAGGTATTCTGTTAAACTTGTTCAAATTTTTTTAAAGCAGCTTTCAAGTGTCTAGATTCAGAAAAAAGTATTTTATGGTGATATTATTTTTTGAATAAATGAAAAATTCTAGTTTTGACGTTTTTAATTTATTTTTAACTGTGCACATTTTGTTAAGAATTAAGATACAATGAAATGAATGGGTATATTATGCTAAGGATTCTGACAAAAGTTTGATGTATTAGAATTTACAACAATGACAACTGTAATGAATTTTAAAGTATTTATAGGAAATATAGTTTTTGTGGTATGTTTTCATTTATGTTAATCAACTGAATGAAATGTATTATTTTTGTTTTGTGGAGTATTATTTATACACAATTATTTTCAGCTTGAAGAATTAGCATTTTCTTTTAATAATGGAGCTACAGCCCTTAACTTTGCTGAGGCTGCTTTACTTATACAAGGTTCTACTTGTGTCTACAGTAAAAAGGTGAGAATTACTTAGAAAATAAGTAATGCTTATTTACATTTGAAACATAACTAAAAGTTTCATCAAACTGACCACTAAATTCACACATCAGAGATGAAAAATAGTAATTTTTAAATGGTTGTTTTTGGAGTTACTGCTTATATTTAAATGTCCTTGTAATTTAGTGGAGTTTTCATTGAAGATATCTATAGAAATATTTACTGATAAATTTAGCACTGTAATTATTTGTAAATAGCTGTCCCACCCAGGAGAGTCATCTGAGTTGGGTAGATAATAAAGCAAGATGTTTGTTTACATGTTGTGTACATTGACCTGGTACACTGTGTGTCTGTGATTGTTTTCTTGGTTGAAGAAAACTGTATATTGATGGCCTGAGAATGCTTGGTTTTTGTTGAGTATTGGGTTATAGGTTTGAGGATGAACCCTGTTTGAGTGTAGGAATTTTGTAATAATAAGAATAAGGGTTATCTTTTGGGTCTTGCATTCTACTAGTTTAGTAGACATAGTATTAGCCTCAGAATACTGAGTTGGAGACTAGCCCCAGTCAAGGCTGATTGATCTCCACCTGTTTCAGGTTATTGCAGTTAGTACCTAAACCTTCTGTGAAGTTTCATATGCTCTCTAAGCTAATCAATAAAATATAAGAGTTGTATACTGAATACTGTGATGAGTAACAAGTTGTCTTTGAAAATGTGTGATGAAGTTACTAAAATGTATATGATATTAGTGAAGTGTGGATGAAGTACATACACCCTTAATTGCATGGTGGTGAATATAGCCAGTTTGTTGGCTCAACAAGGTTGAAGAGGTATTTTCATGGAATATGAGTCCTGGTACCTTATTTAGTAAATTAGCAACTTCAAAGCATGATTGCAAACTGAGGGTCCTGAGTACAAGCCTCAGTTATGGCTGATTTTTAATATTCTGATTTATTTTAATTGGTGCCCCTTTCTGTGTGTATATATAATTTTATGTAGATGGCCTGAGAATGCCATGTTGTACTGTGTGTTGGCAGCTTGAGGGTTCCAGGGCATGCTGTATGTTGGCAGCTTCAGGATACAAAGTCTGTACGTTGGCTTCTTGAGTATGTCAAGTTGTCCTGTATGTTGGCTTCTTGATGATACCAGGTTGTGCTGTTGTTTACAACTTGAGAATGCCAGTTTGTACTGTATGTTAAGAGTCTGATAATACCAGGTTATGCTTTGTATTGTTGGCTTAAGGATGCCAGGGTCTGCTATGTTGATTGCCTGGGATGCCAGGTTGTACTGTCCACTGGGATCTTGAGGATGCTAGATTGTGCTGTAGGTTGTCAGCTTAAGCATACCAAATTGGGCTGTGCATTGGTATCTTGATCATACCATGCTGTGCTGTGTGTTGATAGCCTGAGGATGTCAGGTCATGCTGTGTGTTGACAGCCTGAGAGTGTCAAGTTGTGCTGTGTGTTGACAGCCTGAGAATGCCAGGTTGTGTTGACAGCCTGAGTATGCCAGGTTGTGTTGACAGCCTAAGAATACCAGGTAATGCAGTGTGTTGACAGCCTGAGAATACCAGGTAGTGCTGTGTGTTGGCCTGAGAATGCAAGGTTGTGTTGTGTGTTGATAGCCTAAGAATACCATGTAATGCTATGTGTTAACAGCCTAAGAATACCAGGTAATGCTGTGTGTTGACAGCCTGAGAATGCCAGGTTGTGTTGTGTGTTGACAGCCTAAGAATACCAGGTAATGCTGTGTGTTGATAGCCTAAGAATACCAGGTAATACTGTGTGTTGACAGCCTAAGAATACCAGGTAATGCTGTGTATTGACAGCCTAAGAATATCAGGTAATGTTGTGTGTTGACAGCCTAAGAATACCAGGTAGTGTTGTGTGTTGACAACCTAAGAATACCAGGTATGTCAGTGT